GTACCTACAATATAATTAATCTTAATAGATATATATATATATATATGTATATATCCATCTGTATAAGATTAATAAAGTTTGTCTTGGCGAAAATATTGTCTGTAGCCACAAGCTAATTATAATTACCATTCGAATGAGATTATTAAAATTATTATTAATTAAATACGAAAAAAAAAAAGAAAAGAAGACTCTACAAACTACCATGTATTATTAGATTCTTCAGCGACTTATATCTGGACTTCATCGAATTTCATAATTTTTCATGCGAGATGTGTTCATTTGGTGTTTGGCAGCTCAACGACGCGGAAAAATGGCTAGAAAAACGTTTGGATGCTTTCGTCTGCGGTTGAATGACAGGTTGCCGACCACAGGCGCATCGCTCCCACTACTTTTTCTCCCATCAATTTAGCACATTTCCGACAATGATCATCTGCAATTTTCGTTTGAGTCATCCCGACCTGACTTTCATTACGCCCTGATTAGGATATTAGGATTTTAAAAGTAATTGGCGACAATTACTTGCAAATCTAGATTAACGAATTAATGTAAAAGTAAGTGTTCTTATTTCATTATTACTGACGTTGCTTGGACTTGGACAACGTGAATATCCGAGAAAGCCTATACTTACGTCAGTCGATTATTTAACTAATTAATTAATATTACTATTCGATTGTTTCATTTATGAATATTTATTTATGAATTATCTAATCAAATTAAACAACACGAGAGAGTAGAATAATCCGGCGTATATTATTTATTATTAACCGTTTTTAATTATACGATACTAATTTTTTTTTCTAACCGTCAAATTTAGAAGCCTAATCATCACACTTTGCATTACAAAATAAAAAATATATATCCTTTTTATCATATTTTTGCCAGTTTTTATAATCGTAATTATACTAATGTCGCGCTATATTGAAAGTTCAATATCACTAAGGTTGAAGCGTAGCGATTTCTTAAATGGTACTAATATATTATATTGAGCGATTATTTAAATCAACAATTTCTGTTTACATAGTTGTACAATATTTATTGTTACATTCACATAATGCCTATATACCGTTAAAATCGTGTAATCAAGTAATTATTGTGATTATTATTCTTGTTTGTATTCACGTGAAATTTTATAACGTTATTATCAAAATTACAATATAAGTAAATATAAAGGTGTTTTTATCTTGCACAATAATAAGAATTTATAAATGAAATTCCATAATAAAATTTCGATTACTCAGTTACTACGGAATTATTTATTTTAGAAACAAATTATTAAAATTGTACAAATTGTAAAAACTATTGTAGTAAATTCATTCTTATATATAAATATTAGCCTTTATTATTGTTATTATTATTATTATTATTATTATATATTATATATTATTATATATTATTGACATATGTTATATTGAATAAATTTTTGTCCCGTACAAAAATAATTTTTACAGCTCGCATATCAAAGTAAATGAAGAATGGTAAGGTGAGTTATTAGCTAAAGATGCTAGAAATGAATAATCGATCGAAAAACTTTTTAATCCGTAGACTCGAAAGCAAAGTTACGCACATACAAGTACGAAAAGACCATTAAAACACTGCGCGCTGTTAAAAAGAAGAGAGAACAAGTCTCCCACACTCTCCTTGAACACATATTCACTCTCTCTCTCTCTCTCTCTCTCTCTCTCTCTCTCTCTGTCTGTCTAATACATACAGTGAAAAAGCAAATAAAAACGTCAAGAGCAGCTTCTGATTGTACCGCGATTCCCTCTTCCACGCTAATTAATCTCTTTTTCCCGATCTCAATTAAATGATAAAGAGGGCGCAACCTTCTGGTACTTCGGAGAAGTTGGAATGAATTTAACATTAGTAAAGTTGATACGGAGACATACCCTTTATTGATAAGGTTGATTGAATTATATTCTCATGTTATATTTAGGAATATTTACAACACTAGATAATTCTAAATTTTCCTTATACTTTTGCACAATTCTAGCAAAGATGAAAATAATATAACATTTCGTTATTAATTATTGAACAAAAAAACAAATTTATTTAAACAGATTATGTGAAAGTAAGAAGATAGATGTTATACAATTTTAAAAGTAATATGTAAATATCAAATTTGCAGTAAAATGGTATTGAAAACTGTATTATCAAGTGCAATTTAATGTACAAATAATTTTAATTTAATCACATAGTTTTGTTGAACACTTATAATAGATGTATTTCAATTAAATTTACAGTAAATTAAAATTAAAACTAGCTTTATTATTAGAAATAAATAAAACATTAAAATATAACAAATCCAATTGTATTTATAAAACTACAGAGGCCATCTGCTATTAAAATTTTAATGTAAATACATACGACGAATCAATTCAAATTTATTTTTAATAACTATAATGAAAAATTTATTAAGTATCTGTCATTCAAATTAACTACTAAAATGCCATGTGTTTTGTGCCCTCATATAATTTAACATAATTAAATTCCATTTGGTTAAATGATATCTTACGCTTACATTTAATTTCAATATCTAAAAAGAAAACATTTTAAAACCAATATTCTATTATAAAAGCTAACTGTAATTTCAATTAGATTTTATTCTTTGTTATAAAAAATATCTAAAGAATATTAATGTACATGTACTATTAAGGTGAGAGGATTATGATTGTTAAATTATTTTATTCGCATATAACTATACTTTTAGTTAAACACTGTAGTCGATAACTCAATTTGTAGGTGTTAAACATGGTGCAATAAGTATTGGTATTCTCGTAAATATATGTATATCTCTAGTGATAATTATTTGTGAAATTAGAATTTACTCCATTGCTGAATATGGAGGATTGTTTCTTTTCTCATCGATTGTTCTCTATCGCTCATTGCATCATGAAGAAAGTAGGAACACAGTCTAAATAGAATTACCACAAAAATGTTTATACATTTGATCCCATCGATAATTGAGTAAATTGTACTGCTTATTTTTCATTATAAATATAATTTTTAACTATGCAAAATACTTGGAATATTATTTTTATATAATAAGACTACGTTCACTCATAGAAATAGCTTGGATTTTTCATTAAATTTGCTGTGCTTATTACAAAAGCTTCTGTATTCAAGTAAAACATTTACTCAACCACAATTTTAAATGATTTACTCATTAATTATAAGATTCGTTACTTTATATATATACATATATATATATATATATATAAATCTTTGAACCATACACCGGTACATGATACAACTAAATGCCCTCGTAAAATATTATAAATCATGTTTACTTTGTGATAAATTTCTTACAATAAAGAGTATAAATATGTATTATTTAAACAATATTTATTATTATATATTCACACTTTTATAATATTTATAATTGTATATATAGAATAATAAAATTAATAAATTTGTAGATACAATATTTCTATTTCTAACAAAATCAAATAAAATATGAAAATTAAACAAGATTGAAAAAACAAAATATTCCTTTATAACTATTACCATTTCTTTTTTTCTTTTTCTTTTTCATTAATAATATTCATGCCATATAAAATAACTTGATATTTAAACAATTATAAAAATAAAGTTTAAACATTAAAGCTCGAATGAAATAATCTATGCAATTGACTTTTTATGAAATCCAAAACCATTTCAAGAAAATTACTAAACAATATAATAGAAAACATCTCACGTTTATTTAGTTCGAGTAGAATTAAAGGATATAACATCATTATGCCACTTACCATCATGTTTTGGATAACGATTAGATAAAATTATGTCAATCTCATAAAACAAATTCGTTTAGCGAAAAAATTAATTAAAAAATGATGATTCTCCTCAAGAAGAAAAGTGAAGAGATTAAATATAATGATTATTGACAGCCACAAATGATCGTTTACAATGACTCCAGATAAGCAATAATTCAAGCATAAAAATAAACTCGATTATTAAGATATGCCATTCCCGTTACTCAATAATATATTATAATGTAAAGTGTCGATTTGCTTTGAACAGCTCTTGCTTTATTAGAGAAAAATTTTCTCTTTTGGATTAAACTTTGTAGTCAAGCAATAATATTAATGCTACTATATTTTTGTTCGATAACGCCAGCCTCTTATCAGACATTCGCAAAATTTGCTTGACAATCCAGAACTTGTATATTATACAATTAAAAGAATTTCGAGTGATTCGACGCAATATATTTTCGTTTTACCGGTATTGCGCAAAAGGCGTTATGCATGATTAATTAGTATCGCACTTATCAATGTATGCAAAGTTGTGAGACACCGATTTGATATTGTCATACATTAATATACTAATAGTAATATTTGTCAACGAAAACGCTTTGATCGACGCTAATTAAATTCTATTTGATCAATATTATTATGATGAGCATCTATGAAGTGGCATTCTAGTTATTTAATTATTATGATAGTAGTATGTCTTTTGTAGGAATAATTTCAAGTATAAAGACAATGACCACAATTCATTATTCATCTCAGAAGGTCAAAGTAATTTTTGTTCATACTCGTTAACAAAATTAATTACTATCGTAATATCACAATTCATACCGATTACTATCACAATTAATTACCTATTGTCTATCAATATTAACGCCAACTAGAAAGAACTGTATTCCCTATACCAAAAACTATAATTCTTGAGAGTCAAGTTAATTTTTTGTTGACACTCGCGTAATTAAGGCACAAACATATCCCTTTTATACTGTTTTAAATAATAATATAATAAATCCTATCGCTATTGCATCATATATTAAATTAAATTAAATTTTTATAAAAACATAATATCATATTTTTTTTTTTTTTTTTTAAAAAAAAAAGTTGTTTAATTATCTTTTTCTCAGTGTCTAAATTTTTTGAGCAATCATATATATATATATATATATATATATATATATATATATATTTATTTATTTATTTATTTTATCTTAAAATCTAAATAACAAAATTTAAATCTATTTAAATAGAAATATTGTATTTTTGTTCAGGTTTTAAAGGTATTAAAGTAGCGGGGGGGGGGATAGCTTCTGCAACTACTGCTCCTTATGAATTTACATACTCTGACTTATTTGCATGTCTTTTTAAATAGCTTGCGAATAATCGTCTTGCTTGATTTAAAACTTTAGTAACATTATGACGACGCACCATTTTATCAAAGTGCATGGCCATTTCGTTATAATCCATTTGATTGCGTATAACATAGTCTCTATGTTGCAGCAATAAAGTTATACACAGGAACATTAAAAAAGGATTACCACCGCCAAATTCGCTCGGAGGCGGTAACGAATCAGTGCCAAGTTGCTGTTCGTCGTCACTGATGCCAACTGGAATCAGATTCGTTAGTTCCGTGACTTCTTCGCATTGCTCTTGAACTACGGGTGGTGTCACTGAATCCGTCGCCGCTGAATTTTGTGGCCAGCTGTCAGTTCCATCACTATCAGAGACATCGTCATACCTTTACAATAATTAATTAACATTATTTTTCATTTACTTTTTCAAAATCTTTACCTGGCAAATAAATTTAGCTACCCACGATGCTCTATGAATTGTCACTACATATAAAAATAACATCTAACTTTCTTAATTTGAAAATCTAACGAGCTTAGATATTTTTATCAACTATAATTAACTTAACTATCATTGGACTCGAATAATTTTAGCCTACAAGTACCTGGCCGTTTGTTTAAATAAACGTATAGGAGTTACAGATTTTACTCCATTTTGATCTTCTATGATTTCACCATCGTATTCTAGCTCGACCTGTTCATCTGGAGTTGCTGGGTTTTGCTTGTTCTGTAATGTATGCAAAGGATTTTCCCAAACAAAAACATCCGTTGCTGGACTACACTTAGGCAATTCTGTTTCAGCCTCACTTTCTATTATCTCATGCTCTTGCTTAGATATGTTACAATCACATTGCTGGTCCTTGACAGGTGGAGACGGCCCAAAGACCTATACAATAAGGACATTAATATCTTAAAAGCCATAATGCTTGAAAATTTCAAAACAAATTCGCCTATATTATATAATGCATAATTATTAAGACGTATTAAATTGCGTGAAGATAGTTAATTTCACCTGTCGATCGAGTGATTCAAGCTCCAATCGTAATTCCCTTGTAATAGACGTTGTCATAGGAAGAAAATCTGTCAAGTCATCGGGAGAATTAGATTCGTCGTGATTATTGTGAAGGGCACTATCATCGGTCGACATTTTTATCGGAACTTCAGAATCGTTACTAGGTATAACTCTACTTTTATTGAGGCTCGTGAAATTCAAAAATTCGTTTAAATTCCTAACGACCCTGGCGCACTTGCTTGCTTGAGTCTTGACCTGTTGATCTAGACCACCCGACGAACCTAACTTCTGATCAAAATCCAATAAAGTTGTCATTAGTTTCTTCGGATTTAAACTCGGTATGGAGTCCAGACTGAAGCACTTTTCAGGAGGGGTATTTTTCCGATTTTTTATAACATCGAGGCATTCGCTTTCAGGCTTTGACTGTTGATGACTAATGGACCTAAAACGGTATCAACTCGTTGTTTATAATGCTGTATTTTCATCTCAAAATCAATATATAACATTGTTATATTGATACATTTGATAATTAGAATATATATTTTATCAATATATATATGATCAATTAGAAAAATTAATAAAAAATAAACAAAAGCTCGATTTTTCATAATTTCAAAAACGTGATGAAAAAAAAAACTTAAAAATTTAGAATTATTTTACTAAAAATAACTCACGACTACTGTATGGTAGTGAAATATTTCAATAATAATTGTCGAAAAATAATTGCCTAATTATGGTTTGACTATATAATGAAATTCATAATTATCATATAACGTGTCCTACATAGATAATTTTTATAAATACAATCACATACGAAAATAATATATCCATAACCGGAATTTATCTACACTTGATAACATCAATCTCTACTATTATTAAAACATTGTTAAATAATTGCTACTACCGATACAATCGCTACCGTTGTTTGAATAATGTTATAAAATGAATAAAACTAATTTGCAACGTATAATATTAACTGAATTATTATTATTATTATTATTATTATTATTATTATTATTATATATATATATATATATATAATTTCATTGATAAATTATAAGTGATATTCAAGAATCTTACTTCGTGATTGTAAAATTTAGTTAATTTAATTAATTTTAAAATAAAAGACCTTAATTAATAATAAATTACCGTTCGAGTTCACCCGTGTCATTCTCCGTTAAAGGATCGTCGGTATTGATGTTTCGTTTTTTAATGCTATTAACACTGGCACTTGAACTTTGCCGTCTAAGTGCGCAAACTTTAGTATATGCATTCTCTCGAATTTGTTTTATATTCGGACTAGGAGGGGGAGAGGATGGTGGAAATTTGACTTCCACTAGGGACAGCTCCCCATTTGGAGGTGGAACTGCTGGCAAGGATGCCCAAAGGACCTCGAGCATTCTCATTGCTTCGTCAAGTGCGAACTCTCGTTTCATTTCCAGGAGTAACCATCTATAGCAAAATAACAAGTCATCGGCTTGATGCAACTTGAGATAGGCATAAAATTCTGGATCATAGTACTGAAGACCTTAAAAATAATTCATCCTACATTTAGTATGAAGGGCTAATGAAACAACAAACTACTATTTTTATTGCTTAATATTAAAAATTCGCTTTCATACCTTCCGATAAGTGAGCAAACTTCGTTGTCATTGCAATGCCATTTAGCATAAAATTCTCCTGGAGCCTTTTCATTAGTGCGCAAAGGCAAATGTATGCCTGAGCTTCGTCGCGCATTGTTACTAAAAGAGGAGAAGCTAGATCACTCATACCTTGACAATAGCTTACACTAGGATGATTTAAAGCATAAGTTGTCAAAATATTGAATAAACTTGCAGTATTTTGATTATCATCTGAACCACCATAAAATTTATGATGTCGATCAGTCCTCAAAACATCTTTTCTTACCATACTAGTAACATACCCTGTAATTAAAACGATTTTTGAACAATCTACAATAATTATATTTTAATTGCAATGAATGTGCAAATTCTTTTTTATTATAAACAATAATTTTGTAAACCTAGATCTCCAATATTCTGTCCATTTTGCATAAGATTCTTCCAAGCGTCGCGAAGATTTATATATTCTTGAGCCTTGCGTTTCATGTAATCCATTCTTTCGAGTCCTGACATTCCATCGGGGTAAACGTTAAGTATATGTTTCCAAACAACTTTTCGTAAACTCGGCTCAATACCACCAAAGTAAATTACAGCACGCAGTTCCTTCGATTGTATAATCTGGCCTATGGGATCTAAAAACTTACGAAACTCAGCATCCGTTAAAGGTTCACGAGGCGGTTGAATACTTGCTTGGTTTAATTCTTCGCTCAAATTACCAAAGGCTCTTTGAACAAGATTCAATGTCTTTTCCATCTAACAACAAATAATAGAATATTTTACATTGTATTTTTTATATATTATTGCGATTTTTGGTATATTATCTTTGTTATAACCTGTACCTTATTCATAATAATACCCGGTAATCTGGGGGTCTTGTACGCAAAACCAAGCTCCGGTCTTGTAGCCACATGTTGAATATTTTGTTCCCAATCACTTTCGCACTCACTCGTTTCTCCGAATGGCTTCAAATTTACTTGTAGATAAAGATATGGTTCCGATGCGCTACAAAATTTTTTTTACATAACTTTTGCATAATTTATATTAATTTTTTATCGATTAATATGAAATGAGATTGAAAGATAAATTTTGCATTATTTTAAGTTGTATTTTCGGATGAAATAGCTTTCAATAATTGGTAAATTGAAAATTTGACATTGAAGTTAACTAATTACTATTTACTTATCAACAAGTTTAAAGTTATTTTTTTCATATATTTACTCGAAAAAAGCTGCATCCAAATCCCAATCCGATACAATAAAATAATAAGCTTCTGCGCCATATTCGTCTACTGCTCTGTACGATACAGTGAATTCTCTGAAATTTAACATATTTCATTGTTAATAAATTTCACAAACAGTTTCGCCAATTATACATTCGCATTCAAGTGGATAAGTTTTTCACAAGAAATTATAAGTGTACAATTATTAAATAAATGGTTCGAACAAAATTCAATGTACCCTTTAATATCGAATGCCTTAATTAAGAGGCTTTGTAAGACTTCGATTGTGGTTATTTGTGGGTCCACGCTAAATTTTCGATATTCAGGTCGATGTCGAATTTCACATTTCTGTAAATTTCAAATATCAGTAATAATGTATAAAGAATGTAAATTACAATATTACAATATGAATCTTTTATTCAATGAAAAATAATATGATCGGCCGGTGTAAAAACAGCCATATAATTAATAGAAATAGTATTAATAAATTAATAAATAAAAATGAATCTACTTAAGAATACTTTGAATAATTTGGTTATTTACCTTAACTTTGACTCTAACAGCATCCCTAGGACTGCTGTCCATCTCGCTAATGGTAAGGTAATATCTTCAATAAATGCATACGCATCATAGTTGCCATCTGCTTAGTCTACTTAAAACATTGTAGAATTTTAAAAATTTATGAATATCTTAACGTATACAACTTAACAATTTGTAATGTATCACAAGTTGTACATTCTACTTTGTGAAATGACGATTTAAAATGAAACGGTATTGCTTATTTTTTATTAATTTATCAAACCTCATTATTTATAAATTATGTCTGTTAAGTACAAAGAATGATAAAATACATTTTTTATTTTGGCTTCACTTAAGTGGAGCATGAAATTTTTTTAATTTAAATAAAATGTCAAAACAATTGTCGTAACAGAAGCTTTAAGCATATACAAAATCTAAGAAGAAGAAAGTTATTCATCGAGCTAACAGATTGTCCAGCAATGTTTTTCAATCTCCTACGTCAGTATGCCAATATGTAGTACGTAATACCTTATCGTTTAATAACGTTATCAAAATAATTAATAAATGCTCATATAATAAGACACGATTTTATCAAGCAAATTGCTAGGAACAGCATAACTTCTACTTCCAAAATTTATATTCTCTATATTATAATGCCGCGCGCACCATTATACTATTAAAATCGCAAAACCTTTATCTAAATTCTGCTAAATGTATTCAACGATCAACCGAACCGTACACAGTGCCTTATGTACCTATCCTTTCCTATGTTCAACTACATGCATAAGCGCGCGCGCGTGCGCACACCACCAAAGCATAAACACACCAACGTGCGCACGTGCATGAGCGCCACACCATGCAGACGCGGGCCCGTGTGCGTGCGTATGCCGTACGCATGGCTTATGTACAGGCAATACTAAACCTACTTGTACCATGTAAAAATAATCAATTCTTCGATTGATTTTCATTTAAAGATAAATCGTAAAAATGAGACGATAATCGTCTGGTAAAATATCTTTAAAATATTATTATTTCATTAGACTATAATTTTATACGTCGTGATTGTCATTTTATGCCAAAAGATCATTCAAGCAAAAATATATTCCAATATTTTAATGGGAATTTAATTTTTGAATATTCTTACGCATTTTACGATACGAAAGCACACATCGTCTTAATATTGAAAATAATTTAATTATTAAGTAACAATTTGGAGACTTGATCCATTCAATTATTATTTCATATCGTTTCATTCTCTGACTAAGAATTTATAGTGATTTATAATCTACCTGTCGCTCTGACACGTACAATTTTCTGTGGTGCATGAGAAGAATTTTAACACAAATAATCAAGTGTTTTGAACATCGAAAATCGACGAGTTTATCAAAGAAATTTCAGCTTTCATCCTTTTACGTTCCCAAATATTGTTATTATTTTTAAAGTTTACAATTTTTAAAGTCTCGTGTTTAGCCTTTGACAGTTAATGCCAGTATTAAATATTAAATAACGCCTGTAGCAAGTCGTTGACAAGTTATATTATTAACTCTATTTTATTTAAGAAAAAAAAAAAAAAAAAAAATATAAATAAATATATATATATATATATATATTTGTTTGGATGTATAGGTGTGGGTGCATGTGAAAGTTATGACACTAATAAACAAAGCAGATGAACGAGAAAATGAAAGAGAGAAATGGTAATAAATATGTTTTTAATTCATTCGATGTATTTTGCAATTTCTGCAATTTTTACTGTAAATGGAATAATTTGCAACAACGGTAAGCCAAGTATCATTATAAATAATAAGCAAAAAAAAAATGTTATGATATTGTACTTATTAAAAATACATTTCTCTTTTAAATTGCGTCACGTAAAAAATGTTTTATTAAAAATCACAACCAATTAATATTCTTACGTCACTGCCTCCACCTTTTATGTGTTAAAATAAAAATGGTTTCACTTAACATGAATTTAACATGTCAATATTATTTTATATAATTATGTGATCTCCGCTCGCCTCGCGTTTCTATCGAAGTCTACAACCAATGGCACAAATAATCTACAATAACTATATATTCTAAGTACGTCAACCTTCTTTCCGTCGATGCGTATTGCACCTAAATATTTTTATTAATTAATTTGTGTGTGTCGATTGTCTTTCAAGGAATATATACCATAAAACGAGATCATAAGCAATTATTAAAAATTTCAATTATTATTTATAAGCTGTGATAATTATTATCAACAATGGCTGATTTAGATTTAGAAGAAATTCGTAACCAACGATTAGCACAATTGCAGGCTCAGAACAGAGTATGAAGAATAATTCCATTTACTATTCTTAAGCAAAAAAAAAAAAAAATGAATAAATACATTTGCCTTGTGTATTATTAAAACTATTCATAAACTAATATTCGACTTTAGTTGCTAAAGTGTCATATACAGTTAGTTTTATTGAGTTTTTCAGGTTAGAGAGCTTAAAATTATATTCCTTCACAAAAGTTATAATTCATTTATAATTGGTATTTGGATTTTATTTATTAATATTTACTATATTATTAACATTTAATGTTACAAAAAAAAAAAATCAAATTGAAAATCATTCGTTATATGTATATCGTGCAATATAAATATATATTATTTCTGCCGAAAATTTATAAATTTTAATAAATTGCGATAGGATCCGATATATATGCACATTGTAGATATGTATTTTTAATAAATAATCAATACAATGAATTTACAAAGATACACAATCTCTCTCAATTTTGACAATTTTATATTGTACATATATTTTATAGAATTAATTTTTATATAAAATTTTTCATTTATATTGATGTTAAATCGACAATTATTAAATCATTAAATATTATTCATAAGAGTTACAATGTATAAGAGTACATGCGCAGTAATTACTTTGATATTTAAATGTTTACTTAGACCTTCAAGTTTTTGTTATAAAAATTTAATCAAAAAATAAATCAAAATTTTCCTTGCTTAATTTTGTCTTCTAAAATATCACAATTTATTTTCCATATGTCAGTGACAATTATTACTTATAGTACTTCTTTGCCTTTCATAGGGGAACAATGCTAATAATCAAGAGGTATTAAAAGAAAAGCAACAACATGAAGATATGCGAAATGCCATATTAAGTCAAGTACTTGATCAGTCAGCTAGAGCAAGATGTAAGAAAGCTTTTGTATTATTTGAAATTTTTATTCATTAATTTAATGATTTTTTTCTTTTCCAGTAAGTACTCTTAGTTTGGGAAAACCTGAAAAAGGAAAAATGGTTGAAAATATGATTGTCTCAATGGCACAAAAGGGACAGCTTATGGGCCGACTTGGAGAAAAAGAGCTAATTAATATTTTAGAGAGTATAAATAAACAAACAAGTAAAAAGAGTGTATCTGTCAAAGTAAGAAAAATGTTACGTTATTTAAAAAGTTATTGTTTCGAAAAATTTAAATAATTAAAATCTTAATTAACTTTTCTATGATAAGTTATATTTTTTTAAGTATTATGAATTTTTAATAAAATCTTATATAAAATGAATCTCATTTATTAATAAAAAATTCAAGAATTTTTTATTCATCTGAAATGTAATTATTAAAGATATTTCTTAGCATTGAAACAGTTTTTAATCAGGCATATATTACGCATTCTAGACTTGATAAATCAATTGAAAAAAAAATTCTAATTCGTTTATAAATATATTTATATAATTATTTAACGCAGTATTGTCGAAAGTTATCTATTAAATTTTGATGAAAAAAAAAGTAATATTCCCTGTAAATTTTAATAATTTGATCGATGCCTTTAGCGTAATACCTTAATTTAACTTGTAGTATTATTGAAAAAAGTCGTAACAATATTATGTTTGATTCTTATACCGAATGTATCAATATAATTATCTATTACACCTAACACAATAATTATTTCAGTTTGACAGGCGCAGAGCTGCTTTGGACATAGATGATGATTTGTAATTAGTGGAGTAAAATCAATTCACTTATTCTAATTAATATCTAATTAATTATAATTAAAAACGCTTTCATTTTATAATGCAACTGCTCAGAAATAGTTCTAATTAAAAATACAATATATGATTTTTGGATAAAATTATTAAAATCTAATTAACTATTTTATTTATTATTAATAAGTGCGTTTTCAAAATACACGATATAGCACTATTTCACATCGCTTCACAAACTTCTCCGTATAATATAGTAACAAAAACTTGTTCTCATAATTTACTGGAATTATTAAATATATAACTATTATAATTGTCAGTTCGTAATTTTCAATTTTTAATTCTTGGCAAGCAGTGTCTAATCTTTTTTTATATGACTTGATCCTGCATATTCTAAAAAGTAAACGAAAATTTTAATAAAATGAGTTTCATTTTTTAAGTGATGTTATATTTGAAAATGAATTGTTTATATTTACCTTCTTCTTCCTCATCTGCGTCAAATATATCTGGACACCAGATATTATAACAAATAAGAGATAAGAATCCGGCTGGCAGACCAAATAAAACTAAAGTTAAAATGGGATTGCCTTGCCACATTGATGCAAGAGCAAAGCGAACTTCAAACCATGATCTGTATATTCTTACTATTATGCTGTTTCCACCATATTTCTAAACATGTCCACAATTAATAAATGACGCTTTTCAACTTTTAAATTTAAATTACAAATTAAATTACCGGAACACTTTCATGCTGAATTTGTTCTAGGAACAATTCAATCACGTGAGGAGTTAACTTTTCGGGTTCGTCCTCTGGAATATAATGATGATTCGTCGTTGAATTTATTACAATTAAACTTGGAAGCGGTACAACCATCATTGCTATACTATTGACTAGATCGGGATTGGCTATCCAACCAAACTGAAAATCACTAATAGAAATAAAAATAATTATCAAGTAATTATAATGACATACTCGTTAAAAGCATTCGTATATACTCGTGATATTTTTGCCGCTTCATTTTGATCACAGATTCCACCATATCTTTGAATTCTAGCATATTTGGTGGAACTTCTTCCAACTGATTTTCCTCCAATACTGCTAAGACTAGATTTTTATTTGTCATAAATAATTGATTAATGTTTCCGCGTGTAACTTTTGGAAATGTTGAAAAGCGTTCGGCATTAACCCATTTGTATAAAGTATCGTTTAATTTTTTCCTATCGGTAATTTTATAATCTGAAATTGTGATTAAAAGATTTTTTGTTTCATTCGAAGCGGAATAATTTAAATCCTATAATAATGTGCATTACCTGTAAAATTATAGTGTACATTTTCTTTATACACTAAAAGTGTAGGGGTCTTTTCAATTGGAGCATGTTTGTCAACAACAACAGGATGTGACTGATAAAAAAATGCATGAGGCTGGAATGTCGCTGCAATATTATGATACACATCCTGTGAAAATATATCATAAAAATACACATATAAGCATAGGCATAATAATGTCAAGATTTAAAACTATTAATTCTTTCTATTTTATAATACCTCTTACCCATAACATTCCAGATTTTTCACCAACATATAAAAAATACAAGTCCTTATCTTTTTTCAAAGTGTTAAAGCTTGTGCTTTTGGTTATTTCTTGTACCGGTGGTCCACTTAATCTCATTGCAAATTTAACAATTTCATCTCTCGTACGATCGCCATTATAAACAAAGTGATGATTCCCACTCAAGCTGCATTAAAAATAGATACAAAGAATACATTATAGAAAAGAAGCAATGTACTATAAAACGTATAACATCAAATAAAGCTTATATATATATATATATGTAAAAGTCATATTTACAATAAAATTGTTGGATATCCTTTTATTTTGAAAGAATGGGCAACACTTGTAAAGCGAGTGCAATCGATTCTTCCAACTCTAATAGATGTTGCATGGAGGTACTGAGCAACGTGCGCCCAAATTGGCTCTAACCTTTTGCAGTGTGCACACCATGGTGCATACATCTATAAAAATATGTTTAATAAACTATACAGTTGCTCGAACTTACCTCTATTTCCATTAAAATTAATTCTTACCATAATAAGCCATTGTCCTTCTTTGTGAATATCTAAAAATCTATAAATGATTATGATCATTAATTCACAATATTATAAAACATAATAATAGAATAAAAACTAATAAGAATCTAATTTACCTGTCGCTAAGTTCTAAAACCCGCGATGCTGCTGTGCTATTAACGATAACTAAAATAATAATGTAAAGAAATTTAATATAATCTGATAGATATTAGAAAAAAATTTTGCTCAAATTTCAATACGTTCAATAAATAAAATTAATAAACAGATCGATATCAAATTTAATAAGATCATTTTTTGTTTTAGCATTTAAGTTGTCATAATTATTCGCATGCATTGTTACTTAATGGAACAGAACATGAGAAAACGGATTATCGATCGAGTCTTTATTTTCAGGTTATAAAGTGAAATATTGAATTATTGCAAGTAGATAAACATTATTTACCTTCGAAAAATTACACTTACCACAATATGTAGCAAAAAGCAGAATTCTGGCTAACGAAACCATTGTACAGCCATATATACACATGCATAGAAAGTGGGAACAATATGATCAAACTTCTATGATTTAATATCGTGAAAAGCAAATTCTTCTTAATCTCCAATTTCTTATTACATCCATATTATATGGTATTTTTTTTTAATATTTGTATAAAGAGTATATTGTTGTATATGTTAAACTAATTTATCGCGTTCAAAAAAAACATACATGTCACGAACAAACATTCTATGTACAAACAAGAGGTATATTTCCCCCAAACGCATACAATATCTCATTTACATTGTACCTATTGTAGCATTTGCATTTGTGTGCGAGAGAGAATTTGTGCCAATGTTGGTTGGTAAATGCATTCGTTACGCATTCTTCTACGTTCCTATAAATGTCTCGTAAAATTGTTGCGGTTTTTGAATAATTTATTATAGAATGTATTAATAAGGATATGTAAATAGAATACTTATAAAATAATATCAAATTAATGCAAAATTTCATATTACATTAAATAAATAGTTTCGCTAATTTCACCAATTGTTTCTGTAAGCATTTTCATTTGTAATATTAATATTCATTCGTAAAATTATTTTTAAGTTTAGAAATGATTTACAATTTAATTTGTACTTTAAATTTTATATTTTATAGAGGGCAATATACTTAATAAAATTGATTTTACACTTTTTTTTATTTATAACTTAATTCTAATATATTAATACAGAATTTATTCGATACATATTTTTAAATTGCACACTATAAATGAATAAAATATAACAATAAGAATAAAACGAAATTTTTAAAATTTTTTAAAATTCACGTAAACATATTTAAAAAGTGACATTTTCAATAGAAATTATATATTTAATAAGCATTGTTTCTTTATAATAGAAAATGTAATTTACAAACAAATAATTCATGATTTAACAGACAAATTAGTTATGGTTATGTATATGACAATTATACAACATAAATCCTTACAAATAGGAGTCATCAATTGTCAAGTGTTTTATTAGAGTTTTCAAAGAATTACTTTTGCCAATTATCAAAAAGCATAATAAGGATTTTAATTAATTCGTTTAATTAATTTAAATTTTATGATAAGATAAATCGTTTTAATTTTATAGATCTAATGCACTAGATCTATTCGCATCGATGGATATTTTACGGATGATTATATATTTTAAGGGTTATAAATTTGGAATCACATTAATCAATATTACTGTGAATAATGTTACGAAGTAATATTTTTTATTGGACATGTTGACGCCTACGTGCAGCTCTTTGTTTGTCGAAACGTAATTCCATTTCTTCTAAGACTCTTGGTGTATAACGAACAACCAGCTTAACTGAATTTTGAGCTTGTTTCAACAGCTCGACAGCTTTTTCATGATTCTCCCCTTCCACGCACTAAAAATAACGTTTAATCGTTAGAAGAAAATATATAGACATTAATAAGACTTGATTCTAAATATGACATACAACACCGTTAACGGACAATAATTGATCACCGCGTTTCAAACCACCATGTCTATCCGCTACTCCACCCGGTATAATTCTTGATATATATATGGGTGAATTTTGTTCTTTGCCTCCCATAACGTTAAATCCAAGCCCTTCGTCCGTTTTAGGTAATTCCACGACTCTAGGATGCGCATGCCCTTCGCTAGCGGCGAAAGCAGCAACGGTTGCTTTAGCGGTAGCCGATGCTCTTATATCTTGCGATCCCTTAATAAAGTCAAATACATATTAACTGGATTATAACACAAGGATATAAAGAAAACTCACTTGAATATCTACAGTATCATAAATATGCTCGTACACTTCTCGTACTGCATTTAAAAAATCACTCTGTAAGACTTTTTGTAAAGCAGCTAATTTTGTAACTGGTATCTCTCCACCTTTAAGGCCAAAGAAAATAGTTATCGGCTAAAATTCGGTCTATAGTGTAAAACAAACTCAAAAGTACAAAACTTACTCTTCTGCAATTTATCCAATAATTCAATCGAGCGCTTAATATCTATAATTAAAAGAATATGAAATTTGAAAACTCTTAAGAAGTTAACTATCACAGAAAATTATCATATAATCTACCTCTTTCAAGATTCAGAGTCTCTCCTACAACTGCCATGCTTTTACGAATTTCTTGATTGTTAAAATTTAAACTTAACAATCGAACGCAATTTGATCTGGCATTGCAATTTAATTATAACTCATAGAGGTTAAATAATACATAAGCTTAAAATTCTTTTTAAAAAATTTTAAAAACTGAATTCTTTTGAATAGAATTGGATTATATTAAGAAAAAACTTGGCACAAACTGTGTAAATTTATATATTTACAGTTTAAAAAGTTTATGAGTTTAGATGAGACTTTCTAATGTAGGTGTATTTATAACAAAATGAAATCAGTTCACAGTATTTTGATCAATGGTAGTCATGTGCACACACACGCCCGCATGGCATATATATATATATATATATATATATATAGATATAGATATATACACGTAGGTGGCCAAACAGAACTTAACCCTGGCCTACGGCAGCTATGATATCCAATGTGTGCATATGTGGGTATACGTCGAGTGATTGTGACAATCACATTCAGATGGCGCTGCATAGTCGTAGTTATAATTATGTATTTATGAAAAATAAATATTAATAGATAAGGATAAATGTTGGATTTGACCGATACGTTCCTCTTTGAAAAATGAGTATATTTAATATCTTTTAAACAATCGGCGATTAATTGTGCACTCAATATTAATATTAATAACAATGACAATGATAATTATAATGATAACAACAACAACAATAATAATAATAATGATGATAATAACAACAACGACAACGACAACGACAACGACAACGACAACGACAACGACAACGACAACGACAACGACAACGACAACGACAACGACAACGACAACGACAACGACAACGACAACGACAACGACAACGACAACGACAACGACAACGACAACGACAACGACAACGACAACGACAACGACAACGACAACGACAACGACAACGACAACGACAACGACAACGACAACGACAACGACAACGACAACGACAACGACAACGACAACGACAACGACAACGACAACGACAACGACAACGACAACGACAACGACAACGACAACGACAACGACAACGACAACGACAACGACAACGACAACGACAACGACAACGACAACGACAACGACAACGACAACGACAACGACAACGACAACGACAACGACAACGACAACGACAACGACAACGACAACGACAACGACAACGACAACGACAACGACAACGACAACGACAACGACAACGACAACGACAACGACAACGACAACGACAACGACAACGACAACGACAACGACAACGACAACGACAACGACAACGACAACGACAACGACAACGACAACGACAACGACAACGACAACGACAACGACAACGACAACGACAACGACAACGACAACGACAACGACAACGACAACGACAACGACAACGACAACGACAACGACAACGACAACGACAACGACAACGACAACGACAACGACAACGACAACGACAACGACAACGACAACGACAACGACAACGACAACGACAACGACAACGACAACGACAACGACAACGACAACGACAACGACAACGACAACGACAACGACAACGACAACGACAACGACAACGACAACGACAACGACAACGACAACGACAACGACAACAATAATAATAATAATAAGAAGAAGAAGAAGAAGAAGAATAGCATCATTCGTAACAAACTCTTTTCTTTTTTTTAACTTTTGTTGCGATTTTAAAGAATTTAGAATAATCGTCGATGTCCGCGATTATTTTAAAAGCTTCAAATTTAAAAAGATATTTTCAAAGCACTTATTCGAGTGTACCTCAAACGCATACTTTTTACTTGACCCCATGGGATGAATAAATATTAAATAGCGTAATTAATTAATATAAATATATTTATATATGTCGACGTGAAACAAGATTTATTAACTAAATAACGGACATTTTATTTTAAAAGTTAAAAGAAAATCTTCTTGAAATAATTAAAAATATTTGACGAATATAATTTAAGAAAATGACTAGAGAATCATCAATACTACGTAATAATATGCTAACATTTCTTAATTTATCTGCTTAGCAAAACGAAAGTGTTTCGCATAGAATGCTATTTGCGAATTTATAAAACATAAGAACTTACTTATTCTATAAGTTTTCAAGACAATGGCTAGTAGTTCTAAAGTACTGAATATTAAAAAGCCGCTATCTAATAATCGGTAGTTATTTAATTCCGATTATTTTTGTAATTATTAATCAAAAATATTATTACAATGTATAAATGTATATATTTAATCTGATTCATAATTGCCAATTCATAATTAGCAATTGCAATATTAGTGTGAAATTTTCAGTCTTCGGCTGAATAATTGATGAGAATTTTAATATATATTTGAGGATGGATGTTACAGTGAATTAATGAAATAAAACAACAAATATAGATTTTTATTTATTTTCTTTATTGATTACTGCAAAAGTTATAAAATATAATATATAAATGATACAATTACTCTTTTAACGGTACAAATTATGCGATTAATAACATTAATGTATAAAGTAACAAAAATTTGTGCATAAATATAGTATTTTTATGTAAATTTTCATGTCATGTAATATTATGTAAATATAGACTTATTATAATGAATATTTTCTTATAACGCAGAATATAATTAAAATACAACTTATTTGTGAAATATCGTGTTAATGTTGGAAAGAACAACGTGCTTCGATAAATTTCATACAAATAAGCGGACTTGGATGAAAAGTTTTCCGACAAATTCTCATTATTATAATTGCCAAATAATCGATAAAGACTGAATACGATTATCGACAATCAAGGCAACAGTCATGGTCGCCATGATTAATCAAATAGATAAGCATTAGCGACAAACTTATGAAATGGATTTTGAAAGTTAACTTTTACATACTAACGACTTGCGATAAAAAAAAAAAAAAAAAAAAAAAAATAGATAAAATACATGTGATGGAAAAAGCAAAATTTGACTTTCTGCGCGAAAATCTGATCTGGAAGCAAGTATCTACGGTACGGTAGCATAAGTAGTCGTTGATTTATCATACGAATCATAATGACAAAGTCTTCTAATCATAATCGTGATAATCGGGAGGTACGCAAGTCGGCACCGGTTTACAAGGAGCACGAACGCATTGCGGCTGCTGTAGGACGCAAGTATGAGATGCTTTACATGGAGGATCAAGATTTGCACAAGGTCCACCCTTTCCTGCTCCGAGTTTGGCTAAATCACTCTGGCATGAATCGGCATCTAAACGGAAACAGCATAATTGAATATTGATTGTCGATCGAAGGCAAATTCCATCTCAATCCCCGCGATCCTTCAAATATCATGTATATAATATCATTTATGCAGACTTTTTAAAGGAGTTTAGGCTTAAGGGGCTGATGTTAACATAAGGTGTTGAAGCAAATGAATCAAGACGATTAGCATGAGAATAGGATAATGTAATGCTTTTAATTTACTTACATTCGACGCATTTGTTCTCTAAACAGCATCCGGAACAACATTCCGTGCTATAAATGCACTATTAAACAAAGTTAATGTATGAGTATCGTGAAAAATTTAGCGTATGCATGAGTCGTACACGCAGATAAAAAAGTGTGAAATTTTTGTTAGAATTTTATTGGCTCTACGCTGAACGATATATATATATATATATATATATATATATATATGTATGTATGTATGTATATGTATATGTATATGTATATGTATATCAGTATATCAGTAGCTTATAATCAATCGATCATCCAATCATCATATTTCAATAATATGAAAAATCTTACTAATAATCGTTCCATCAATGCAAAATACGGATAACTTTTTTCACTTTTTTTTTTTCATAGAAAGTAAAGTGGTCGTTATTGTTCACAAGTGTCAGAGTACGTGCCCTCTTTGTCTCTCTGTCATGCTCCCCCCCCCCCTCTCTCTCTCTCTCTCTCTCGGTGTAAAATATTACGTAATTACCCGAGATATATCACGTATCGATGGAGCAACTAACGCCTAAACGGCTAACGGGAGCTTTCGGGAAATCGAAGGAGCGCCGTGGGAGCAACGACGTGTGCGTAACGCGGGACACTACCGCGCAAAAGCCATAATAATCGTAAGTGCGCGGTCGCCGACTCACTATAGAAAGTGCGCCTCGTTATCTTCCTCGTCCGCGCGCTTTTTCTTTCCTTTCTGCGTGCACGCCCATCCGACCATCACCCGACTATTATTTACGTCAATATTGGTCTTGAGACAGATGGGCTTGTCGGGCGCGGCTTCGGCGCTGACGAGAAACCCAAAGGCGAGGAGTCCGAGGACGAGCTTCATAGCGACTCCCGGCTGGCGAAGGATCGTCGAAAATGGCTGGACGATACGTGCGACTCGGCGCGGCGTCTGCGACTACTCAAAACGCCCGGGCTCCGAGTGTCCACTCGCACCGCAACTAAACTAGTTGGCTCTCAACCTCGTTTCGCCTCTCTTAGTAGTAGGCAATGCTCGAGGCCACACGCATATAGCCCTGCCGTATTATATGCCGTGTGCGCCTTCTGTTTATTACGTACTCGTGGAAAGGCGCATTTTCACGCTCAGCCGCGACTGGGGGAGCCTAGCGGAGCCTGGATGGTAGCCGCTAGCTCTATCTCAATGGATAAAAAGGCGAGATAAAAAGGAGAATATTAGTCTCGCGGCTTAACGCGCTCTTAATTGCCTTTCTCGAATTATTGAATTAGCGCTCGGGGCTGTTAGGAGTAGCGCGCGTCCGTAGCTAAACATATTGCGTAAACATATTGAATGTCGCGCGGAGTGGGCGGCTCCACATCCGGAAATGAAATGCCCGCATTTAGAGGGACAGGGAAACGCGGGTATCGAGGAATCGGAGGAATTGCGGGAATTTAATATGATGCATTATGAAAATGAAAATGAACGATGCGCTAAGATATGTTATCTCGTGATTATGATAATCGAGTGACCAACTACTCCATGTAGCTGTAAATTTCTTGGGAAAGATCGGCCGTTTCTAAGCGACAGTTTATAATAATATCTTAACGATGTCACTCGTAAGACTAAAAAATACTGCCAAATTATACGTATATTAATTATTAATAGCTACTCATTAGTTTTCGAGATATTCCATAATTGGATCAACTACTGCATTAATGTTACTACATCGGGCCAAACGAATAACTATCGTATAACACATTGCAGTGATAATGCAATATGCAGTATAGGTAATTGACGTTTTACTGTGTGTCTCGAGCCTGGGGAATTTACGAATTTACAGTATTTACATAAAATGGCGTTGGTTTTTCATTATTTTAGGCCCTATTTTCTGTAATAGTCTATATTCTATATTCTCTAACTGGCCATATTGATTAAATGGTCGAGAAATGCTAATACCGATAATGATTACTGTCCGCTTAATGAACCAATTGTGTTCTCGCGCAATATATTCGATAAATAATTTAGATTTTCTAAAATTCTCTTTAGAGGCAACACCTTTCATCGTACGGTTGATTTACGCATAGAGAATGGATAATTTCGTATTCATTCGGTAACCATGTTTATTCAGCAGCGCTAAATGAAAACATTTGAATTTATGCGCTAACTTTATTAGACCCAGTTATGCTTAACCAAGTGAATACATTTACATTGTAATGCATTTTTTACATTTTAATCTAACGACGAGAATGCAGATTAGTAAATAATTTTATTATTTGATAAAAATAAATGTATGAATTTATCCTTACTTATTCATTAATCTTGGCGCTCGTCATTTACTAAAATCAACTCTTAATTTTACGGCTCATGATTTCCATTTCTTTTCAGTTGCATCATTTCTATTCATTCATTCAATTAACAATTTTCCGTGCAAAAATTCGTATAAATAATTCCTAGATTTAATTTAAAGTTTCTTTATATATATATATCATAATTCTTTTATTTACAAAACACAAAAATAATTTTCTGATTTTGCATAAAATATATGAAAATGATCAAATCATTCTATAGATACGCAAAATAAGATAATTAAATAAAAAATGAATAATAATATTATAACAATATATATTATCGATACACATTGAGATAGTACAATTATACTTGCACTTTATACGTTAATGATTCTACTTACACTTTCTCATGCATTTTTATTACAAAATTATATTATGACAATCACTCTTAAAAGCATACTAAAAAATTAATTTATAAATATTACGAAGCTTTACAGAAATTAAATTGTTCTTATTGACTAATATTTTCAGCGTAATACGTAATGTCTACTCAATTACAAGAAATGAAATAATTCCTAAAATATTATTAAAAACGTAGGCAGAAAAAAAAATATATATATATATAAATATAATTTTTCAATTTATAAACAATTAATATTGTAATAACTTAATTATCTAATCAGTATGAAATTAATAGTATTGCCGTATTTTAATTTAATAGGGGATATATCAATGTAACAATAATTAAATAAAATTATCTTTAAATTAATGTAATTGCAACTATTTTGAAATACATATAAGACAAAAATGTTGAATCAATGAATGATATATTTTTAATAAAACATTCATAAATATTTAATCGAATATATAAAGTTTCAGATAAAATTAATGTTATCATTGTTATGTATTTCAATATCATTTTGGCATTTATATCACCAATATCGTAATATTAGTGTGAGAATAATAAACAATTGTCTGCTATTACCTTGACCAAGATAACTAATAAAACTATTCCTAATATCTTATCTTGAGATATTTTATCAATTTTACCATGTATTTTATAAATTTTTATTACAATGCTCAAAAATTAATGATGAATAAAGATGAATGACACAGCCATGGAATACAAAAAAAAAAAACCGAGTATATAATTTAATATTCCTTTGTAATAGTATTTGTAAATGTCATTAAAAAAGTTTTATTCTCATATCAAGGGCAAGTGTGTAATTTTCATCACGTGTATGTCTTTTGTTCTTTTGCCACACATTAACATGAATTATTTTGTAAAGTTTAATATAATTATAGAACTTTATACGAATGTAAATGATGATTTGTAGAAGATAGATTTGTAGAAAAATATTCTTTTTTCTCAATTTATTTATAAGTAATATCAGCTTAGTAATACATTACATATCATTATTATAAATTCCTTATTTATTGTCATTTCTATTATTAATTTGATATCGTCAATTGCTTCTCTTTTTAATAATCTATACAAATTCCCGGAAATTTGCTCTTTCAATTTTTTTTTTTTTTTTTTTTTTTTTTTTTTTTTTTATCGCTAATAATATTTTGAAAATTGCGAATAAATTATCGAGAATTACATTGTTTAAAATTGCTTATAAATATAAAAATTAGCAGAAGAAGATGAAGAACATTTGCCTATTGGTAAATAATCTATTATTCATGAAGATCTAAAAATTACTACTTAATTATAATAGTTATGTTGTACAATTATCATTCATTAAATCAGTAATTTACAGTTATGTGATACCAGTTACGAGAACTTAATGGCATTGTTGAGTAGAAATTTATCTGGACATCGAATGCATCATAAAGATACCAAATTATCGACCATTTTCATTCTTTGAATAACAATAAAAATATTTGCGCATTTACGTAAGAATTGTCTTTGATGGCAATTAAATTACTTGCTCGAGAATATATCGATGCGCATAATGGGTAGTTTTGTGGAAAGTGTCGCATCGTGTGTTATGGTTGAATGGGTGAGAACGTAAAGACGAATTCCTGGGCCGGCTATCATTTTCCTTACCAACAATCACGGCTTTCACCATTCCGCGTGGCAATATTAACGAGCAATTAAAGGAATATCCAGTGCCGAAATGCGTTATCTCTCGGGAACCGTTAAGGGTGCCTGCCTCACCGATAAGTCGTTACTTAATTAAGTCACTGCATCAAGTATAAAAGTCGTCTACCACGGTGACGTACCACGAATCACAGAACAGCAAGCCGAACGACAAGCCGATCATGTACTCAACGACGGTATTATTGGGCCTACTGCTGGCCCTAGCGACTACGGCCCACAGCATCGCTATTCATAAGCCCGACGAGTCGCCCAGCCCAGCTACCAAGGCCGTCGTCAGCACGAACAATGGCTTCGCTGTACAGAGCGGCTACGAGGGCTACCTCCTGAATCAACAGAAGACGGGCCACGCCATCGGTAACTGGCTCGCTTCCCCTAAACTCGGTATTCTCAAGAGCGTCCTCTTACCGGTCTCGAGCTTCCTTCTCGTCTACGGCGCCAAAACCCTCGGCGTCATTCTCCACCTTTTGCTGGCGCTCTTCTTGGGAGTTGCGACGACCACCGCTGTTTGCAGCTTCACCCCCCTCTGCACCATCTCCGTGGCTGGACCTGCACTATCGATCTTCAAGGGACAGGTTCGTGCGTCTGACTTACTTACTCCAATGCCTTTACTTCTCAATTTACGCATTAGCTAATGCGTTGTAGCGCGAGCGTGTAAATTACTTTGAATTTATAGGCATTCGCGTGCAACTGCAGTCGCTCGTAGCGCGTGAAAAATAAAATTAATCGAATTACAATTGTTTTATGTTTAAATTGCTAATTAGCTCAGCTCTTGGTAAAGAATATTCGCTTGCTCGTCTATCGTGTAAATTACCTTATAGTGTCCATAATTTACGTAATGCCTATCAGAATTATCCTAACATCGCGTTTTAACAGAGCACGTCAACTTTTCTCGCGTTCGTTTTGACAAGTTTCACGACAACGTTCGTGTCGTAGAGTTCTCATAAAAATTCCCACCTAAATTGCCAAGAATATTGGTAAAGAAAGATTACGAGTGAAACAGGCCAAAGTAATTATCAAGCGCCAATTGCGTGATTACAGTCGCTGAAGGAACAAGTGTCGGAGTTGACCCGCACCTACATGACCCCGAACAACTTGGAAATGGTGTCAAAATTCGTGCAGAGCGCACTGGACAAGTACTCGATAGCTCCGCGCCATGAAGCGGAGCAACCGGAGCCGAACGTCACGGAGAACGAGACGACGTCATCGGCATGAGGGGGCCGAGTACAACGAATCGTCGGCAAAAGTCATTCATTCCCGCCGACACGTTTCATTATTATCATAAGCACTATTTATTGTATCGCGCGTGCGGCGGCGGCGGCGGCGGCGGCGGCGGCGGCGGCGTCGGCGGCGTTGGCAGCGACGGTAACTCCTTGCTTTATCATGCCGATCGATTAGCGATTCCCGATTCAAGCCGCCAAGGCACGCGCACCATTGTAATCGATTACGAGCGAAAAAGAAAGAACGAGCCACGAAGAATGGAAGAAGGAAAAATAAAGGCAAAACAAAAATTAAGTCATTGTCACTCGTGCGAGAGAGAGAGAGAGAGAGAGAGAGAGAGGGGGGAGGGAGAGTGTGTGTGTGTTTGTGTGAGATATATATCATAATTCTTTTATTTACAAAACACAAAAATAATTTTCTGATTTTGCATAAAATATATGAAAATGATCAAATCATTCTATAGATACGCAAAATAAGATAATTAAATAAAAAATGAATAATAATATTATAACAATATATATTATCGATACACATTGAGATAGTACAATTATACTTGCACTTTATACGTTAATGATTCTACTTACACTTTCTCATGCATTTTTATTACAAAATTATATTATGACAATCACTCTTAAAAGCATACTAAAAAATTAATTTATAAATATTACGAAGCTTTACAGAAATTAAATTGTTCTTATTGACTAATATTTTCAGCGTAATACGTAATGTCTACTCAATTACAAGAAATGAAATAATTCCTAAAATATTATTAAAAACGTAGGCAGAAAAAAAAATATATATATATATAAATATAATTTTTCAATTTATAAACAATTAATATTGTAATAACTTAATTATCTAATCAGTATGAAATTAATAGTATTGCCGTATTTTAATTTAATAGGGGATATATCAATGTAACAATAATTAAATAAAATTATCTTTAAATTAATGTAATTGCAACTATTTTGAAATACATATAAGACAAAAATGTTGAATCAATGAATGATATATTTTTAATAAAACATTCATAAATATTTAATCGAATATATAAAGTTTCAGATAAAATTAATGTTATCATTGTTATGTATTTCAATATCATTTTGGCATTTATATCACCAATATCGTAATATTAGTGTGAGAATAATAAACAATTGTCTGCTATTACCTTGACCAAGATAACTAATAAAACTATTCCTAATATCTTATCTTGAGATATTTTATCAATTTTACCATGTATTTTATAAATTTTTATTACAATGCTCAAAAATTAATGATGAATAAAGATGAATGACACAGCCATGGAATACAAAAAAAAAAAAACCGAGTATATAATTTAATATTCCTTTGTAATAGTATTTGTAAATGTCATTAAAAAAGTTTTATTCTCATATCAAGGGCAAGTGTGTAATTTTCATCACGTGTATGTCTTTTGTTCTTTTGCCACACATTAACATGAATTATTTTGTAAAGTTTAATATAATTATAGAACTTTATACGAATGTAAATGATGATTTGTAGAAGATAGATTTGTAGAAAAATATTCTTTTTTCTCAATTTATTTATAAGTAATATCAGCTTAGTAATACATTACATATCATTATTATAAATTCCTTATTTATTGTCATTTCTATTATTAATTTGATATCGTCAATTGCTTCTCTTTTTAATAATCTATACAAATTCCCGGAAATTTGCTCTTTCAATTTTTTTTTTTTTTTTTTTTTTTTTTTTTTTTTTTATCGCTAATAATATTTTGAAAATTGCGAATAAATTATCGAGAATTACATTGTTTAAAATTGCTTATAAATATAAAAATTAGCAGAAGAAGATGAAGAACATTTGCCTATTGGTAAATAATCTATTATTCATGAAGATCTAAAAATTACTACTTAATTATAATAGTTATGTTGTACAATTATCATTCATTAAATCAGTAATTTACAGTTATGTGATACCAGTTACGAGAACTTAATGGCATTGTTGAGTAGAAATTTATCTGGACATCGAATGCATCATAAAGATACCAAATTATCGACCATTTTCATTCTTTGAATAACAATAAAAATATTTGCGCATTTACGTAAGAATTGTCTTTGATGGCAATTAAATTACTTGCTCGAGAATATATCGATGCGCATAATGGGTAGTTTTGTGGAAAGTGTCGCATCGTGTGTTATGGTTGAATGGGTGAGAACGTAAAGACGAATTCCTGGGCCGGCTATCATTTTCCTTACCAACAATCACGGCTTTCACCATTCCGCGTGGCAATATTAACGAGCAATTAAAGGAATATCCAGTGCCGAAATGCGTTATCTCTCGGGAACCGTTAAGGGTGCCTGCCTCACCGATAAGTCGTTACTTAATTAAGTCACTGCATCAAGTATAAAAGTCGTCTACCACGGTGACGTACCACGAATCACAGAACAGCAAGCCGAACGACAAGCCGATCATGTACTCAACGACGGTATTATTGGGCCTACTGCTGGCCCTAGCGACTACGGCCCACAGCATCGCTATTCATAAGCCCGACGAGTCGCCCAGCCCAGCTACCAAGGCCGTCGTCAGCACGAACAATGGCTTCGCTGTACAGAGCGGCTACGAGGGCTACCTCCTGAATCAACAGAAGACGGGCCACGCCATCGGTAACTGGCTCGCTTCCCCTAAACTCGGTATTCTCAAGAGCGTCCTCTTACCGGTCTCGAGCTTCCTTCTCGTCTACGGCGCCAAAACCCTCGGCGTCATTCTCCACCTTTTGCTGGCGCTCTTCTTGGGAGTTGCGACGACCACCGCTGTTTGCAGCTTCACCCCCCTCTGCACCATCTCCGTGGCTGGACCTGCACTATCGATCTTCAAGGGACAGGTTCGTGCGTCTGACTTACTTACTCCAATGCCTTTACTTCTCAATTTACGCATTAGCTAATGCGTTGTAGCGCGAGCGTGTAAATTACTTTGAATTTATAGGCATTCGCGTGCAACTGCAGTCGCTCGTAGCGCGTGAAAAATAAAATTAATCGAATTACAATTGTTTTATGTTTAAATTGCTAATTAGCTCAGCTCTTGGTAAAGAATATTCGCTTGCTCGTCTATCGTGTAAATTACCTTATAGTGTCCATAATTTACGTAATGCCTATCAGAATTATCCTAACATCGCGTTTTAACAGAGCACGTCAACTTTTCTCGCGTTCGTTTTGACAAGTTTCACGACAACGTTCGTGTCGTAGAGTTCTCATAAAAATTCCCACCTAAATTGCCAAGAATATTGGTAAAGAAAGATTACGAGTGAAACAGGCCAAAGTAATTATCAAGCGCCAATTGCGTGATTACAGTCGCTGAAGGAACAAGTGTCGGAGTTGACCCGCACCTACATGACCCCGAACAACTTGGAAATGGTGTCAAAATTCGTGCAGAGCGCACTGGACAAGTACTCGATAGCTCCGCGCCATGAAGCGGAGCAACCGGAGCCGAACGTCACGGAGAACGAGACGACGTCATCGGCATGAGGGGGCCGAGTACAACGAATCGTCGGCAAAAGTCATTCATTCCCGCCGACACGTTTCATTATTATCATAAGCACTATTTATTGTATCGCGCGTGCGGCGGCGGCGGCGGCGGCGGCGGCGGCGTCGGCGTCGGCGGCGTTGGCAGCGACGGTAACTCCTTGCTTTATCATGCCGATCGATTAGCGATTCCCGATTCAAGCCGCCAAGGCACGCGCACCATTGTAATCGATTACGAGCGAAAAAGAAAGAACGAGCCACGAAGAATGGAAGAAGGAAAAATAAAGGCAAAACAAAAATTAAGTCATTGTCACTCGTGCGAGAGAGAGAGAGAGAGAGAGAGAGAGAGGGGGGAGGGAGAGTGTGTGTGTGTTTGTGTGAGATAGAGTGAGGGAGTGAGCGAGTGGGAGCGAGAGCAGGAGTGGGATGAGATAGCGGCGGAAGGGGAGGAGGAGATAGAGTCTCCTTCTCCACCTCATCCACCGCCATCACCTCCTCCTCCTCCTCCTCCTCCTCCTTCTACTTCTTCTTCTTCTTCTTCACCTGCCGCTCCATCGTCCCGATCCCCCGATGAACCCGCTCCTAACCTACCTTGCCGCACTCCTCCGCGGGGCAGTGACGACTTCCCGGCACTGGTTGAACGCAAGCTTTTGTTCAACTCGCACGGCCCAACGCGTCGCATCGCCTCGCTATGTCGCCGCTCCCGAGGAGCGCACACCCAGGTCAGTCTCTAATCTAAGTCCCGAGGACGATACCCGATCTTTAACCACTCCCGCTGAATTCAACGGGCGCCTCTTCACCGGCGACTCTTCTGCTCCTTCGCCAAGGCCACGGCCGCGCACTCTTCACGCATTACACGATGCCCTCGTACGATCGACCGTTATCCTCGATACGCTCCACGAACATTCTCCCATAATGCCCAATAATCCTATTATTCGGTATTGTCGATGCACGGCAGGAGCGCTCTCGGCCATAATTTTCAACTCGTTTGTTAACCTCTGCCTTTAACGTCGTTATCCAACAACGTCCTGGCGAATATTTCCCTTTAAAAAGTAATCGCGAACGTTTGCGATTGATCTGGCGCGTTTGAGCGATCGTCCAGACGACATGCGCAAGACGTTACCGCGACGCTAAATCGCAGCGCCCTTTATCCGGCAACAAATAATGTTTACAAATTTAACGACTCGCGCATTTAAACGTATGATTATAAAAGCAGAATGGATAAGCCTGACAATAACAATGGTCATCGTCGTCATCGTTTACCCCGGGGCGTCCTACCTCGCTAACATAACGTTTAATCGCACCTCTCACGATGACATCGACGACTTTGTTCCATATCAGGGCGAAAAGTTCAATGACTTCGATTGGAAGCTCTTGAAGGTAAATTGCTCGTCTTTTAGCAAATGTCCCGTTCACTCGTCGCTTACTAGCAATTAAGATAAGGCTTAAGGTTTTATGAATGATCCTGTATGAGCAGAGTGTGGCAAAGAGTCATCATGGCAACGTGCTCGTATCGCCAATATCCTTGAAACTGAGCCTAATTCTACTTTACGAGGGGGCCCAAGACACCACGGCTAAGGAATTGGCAGCTGCAATGAATCTACCAGCCCTCAGATTTCCAACGCGCGATAAGTTTTCCAAACTATTGCTATCGCTTCAGGTACTTAAAACGATAAGTCGCGAGTCTGAACGTTTTCCACAAAACGATTGTATAATAATCCGACTGAAGGCTTCGAGGGCGTATAAACGTTTGAGCGAGCCTTTCCAATCAATGACATCAACTTTATTTTTATGCATTAAGTAGTGAAGTCGAGTAGCTTTGAAAGATAAATACCGCCCGACTTATGGAAGTAGGAAGTGGCAGTTCCGGGACAATCTAGTACTATTGAAGAATGGCCGTTGTGGTTTTGATCAAAGACCGTCGAGGGCACTGAAAGGCTCTATTAATCAGCGCATGCACTTGTGTTAATAAATTAAAAGTCTCGTGTCACTTTCTATAGTATGCTTTGTCTTACAATACCGATGACCCTCGGCCATTCGACAACAAAAGTGAATAAAGTATCGGCCAATGTCGTTGAAAAGAATTTATTTTTTATTTATGTTTTTGTTTTATGTTTTTGTTTTTTGTTTTATAATATTCATACAATTTGTAGAATCAGCGAGTAGTGAAAAATAAACACGCTTGCGTTCGTTTCTATTTGCTCCGTCGTGTGACATACGTATATGCACAAACACGGATGCGCGCGTAAGCGCGCGCACACAAACAGGCACGCAAACGTACATATATAGGCGCGCATATATATGGTAACGAATAGAATAGCAATTCTTTGAAATGAATTATCATATAATTGACAATAATCTTCGATGCACTTTGATGATTAATCGATTGATTAAACGTCATTATGTTAAATATTTCAAAGAGAAAATCATCGACTAAGGCAATTATGCAAGATTTATTTAAATTAAACGAAAAATAGTTATTTATAAAAAAATTTATTTATTTTTTTTTTTTTTTTTTTTTTTTTTTTTGCTTTGCTTTTTTTTATTTTTTCATTTGTATTTAAAATTTTTATTCAATCAATGTAGTACGGCAAATTAGTAAGCCGAAGATATAATTAATATTCCTTATATCGCGGTAGCGAAATAGACGTATATAGACGTAAATAGAAATAGCATTTTTTAAGGTTTGTCGTTGGCCGTCGGATAAGGAAACTTTGGTAATTATTTCATTTCAATACTTGAAAGAAAATTAGCTTGTTTATCGTGCAAATTTTATTAACGCCGTCTCAAATGAAAATGCTTATTGATTGTTTGTAAAAAAATTTAATTAAATAAAGAGAATAAATAGCCATAATTACAAATTATTAAATAAATTTCATTCTCCAGTTCTCACCTATGAATCAATAGTGTTTTAACAATAAAACGTACATTTATTTATATTTAATATTAAAAATTGTTTATGAATAAATTTTTTTGCTTTTGTTTTTGTTTATAACTATTAATTAAGGAGAGAAACCCCGAATACGAACTCGATATTGGAACTTCTATATATATGGACAAAAGTATTTTAGCGCGACAGCGATATGCATCTATCGTGAAGTCATTCTATAATGTCGACATTATCAATACAAACTTCTCGGACACTCCTTTATCGGCGAAGATGATAAACAATTTTGTAAATAATGTAACTAAAGGACATATTAGTAGCCTGATTAGTAATGGTAAGGTACTACAAGAGAGATGAACTTTTCAAAATACTCAAAGCCGATAAATTGCGATTTACGTATTTTTTCCTTCAGATGCTGTTTTGGACGACAATTTAATGTTCATAGTAAGTGCATTGTATTTTCAAGGATCGTGGCATCGTCAACCATTTTCCATTGAAAATACGATAATTGGATCATTTTTAATGTCCCGCTCTTCAAACGCCCTTCATGCAAACGAATCACAGATTTTATTTTGCTTACATCGCTGAATTAGATTCTAAAATTCTCCGTCTACCTTATGCGGTAAGTGTTACCGGCCAATCTTACCTTCAATTGCACACTTCACTTGGGCGATTCATTGAGAAATATCTTATCAAATTATTAATCCCAGCAACCAACAATAAAGCGCCATTTAAAATAATAATAAAAACAAAAATATATATTTACCAAATAATCATTCGATTTGTCAAAGGGTCATAAATATGCGATGTACATAATCCTGCCACGACTCCCGGGGCAAGTGGATGATGTCTTGCAGAGAATTACACCATCTTCGGTCAATAGTTATGCATGGATTATGCAAGAAGTGCCGGTAGACATATTAATTCCGAAATTCAAATTCGACTTCACCAGCCACCTGGAGAACACTCTTCGACAGGTATATTTACTTTGTAGCAGCCAATGAATTCATTACCGCTAGACAATTGCTATCAAAGACGCATAATTCACATTTACAAATGCTTGTAGTTGGGCATCCGTGACATATTCGAGGACACGGCAACACTGATCGGTATTCTTCATTCGAAATCCACATCGAGGCGATTAGTCGTTACCGATATCGTACAAAAAGCTGGAATCGAAGTCAACGAACGTGGTACAACTGCCTACACCGCTACAGGTAGATTATTCGTGGCGTTTCGAAGCTTCTAAACATTTTTCCTCTACTTTTGAAAATCTTACTTTTCAATCGAACTCAAAGCAAAATAAGAAGAAATAATGCTCAAAAACAAAACAAAAAAAAACAAAAAAAAAAAACAAAAAACAAAAAACAAAAAATAAAAAACAAAAAAAACATCAATAAAATAGAGATCTTCTAGATTTTCGGTCTGGAATTTATAATTTTATATAAAAACTGTTCACTTTTTGTTAAAAAAAAAAAAAAAAAAAAAAAAAAAAATGAAAAGTGACAATAAAAAAAAGACAATGGAAAATACAATAGAGAGAAAGATAATTCAATGATATTGCAAGCGTTTGAAAATTAATACCACAGAATGTTATTTTGCTGTATTGTTAAGTATTATTGGAATTAAGCGACAAGTCCTCGAATTCCCTTCGTTATTTCAAAATTTACTCTACCGCACGCTTGTTACATTTAATTAAGACGATTGCTATTTTTATCATTGCGCGCTAAATCTTTGAAGGAAATGGTAAAAGTTTTGTATTTAATCGCTTCAAAAATCCACAACGATCGTGAAAAGAAATTTACAAGAAAACGTGCACAAACGAATGAATAAAACGGTTGAGGACATGGTCTATTTAAAAAATCGATGCTACCGAGCTTATCGATTCGAACAGATAGATGTGTGTATTTTCTGTATGCTACGCGTCAGCTTCCATCATAAATTATTTGAAATTAGCAATTTAAGTGATTATCGGCAAAACCACGAACAAGCGTGTATTTATGGATGTACGATGATTTGTTAGGACTTGGACCTACATCTTTAAAGCGGAAAATTAAAACAAAAATGAGCAAAATAAGAACGATATACTTGAGGGAATTGACGAGAATATTTTCACGTATTCCTGTGAACTTGTACAGCCCCATTGAGTTGGATAATCGCATGGAATATTTTAAGCGTTAATCTAGTTTTAAATCACTGCTCAAAGTAGCGGCTCATTGAGCACAAAAATAGCACTCGGAATGATGTTAAGGAGGTATTATGATGATTCCCGACCAAACAGAATTTTAATAATTTGCAGAAATTGAAATTGGAAACAAAATAAACGGCGAAACCTTCTACGCAAATCACCCGTTTCTGTTTTACATCGAGGACGAGATCAGCGGCACTATCCTGTACATGGGCGTCGTAAATAATCCCCAGGAGGAAACCGGAATGGTCGAAGCGACGGAGCCTCGGGGAGCGCCAAAGTCGTTCGCACAAATGCCACCGAATTTCAAGGAACAAGCGGCCGAAAGTCCTGTCCCTGGTGAGTCCACGAGTTTTAATGGCCGCGCGGTCCCCTCGAAAATCCGAAAATCCATCGGGCGCAGAGAGTTGGCAGGTTGCCTCATCGGGAAAGCTTTAGCGGCCACGTGAACATAGAAACGAAACTTCCAAGCCCCCGTTAAGAATTATCACTCTTTTTGTGCGCTCGTGGTGCCGAGTGGCGATGGGGGCGAGAAGAAAGAGCGAGAGGCGCGGGGGGAATCAGTGG